TGATAATCTCACTTTCTCTAGGCTCCTCCTTCTTTGTGGCATTCAGCTTGACGGTCAAGTCCTTGATCTTCTGATCATCCTGCACCTGCTGCTTATGGGACTGCATCAATTGTTCTTGCATACCTTTCAGCGTTTGCTGCAGCATCTTCATTTGTTTCTCCTTTCCCTCCATCTCGGCTTTTGTTTCCGATTTCAAAAGATCCACCTATAAAGATGTGTAATTAGAAATTTTTCGAAAACTTTTCTCCCGGTTACCAAATCGATTCGCATTAATACACACTTCATTCTTGTACGCTTCCAACTGGCATCTCAGACTGTCGTTTTCTTCTTTGAGACTCTGCAGTCTCTCGACGTCCTCTTGATTACCGTCCAATTGATTGCGTGTTTTCTTACGTTGAGGTTCCTCCTCCGAGTCCGATACATCCATCTCACCTTCGCCTTCAATTAGACTATCTTCCAGCTGTACCGCTTTTATTTCCTGTCATTACGAATAACGAAAATTATAAAATGCTCTAAATCATGACCATTGTTTTTTCACACAAATGCATGCAAAGTATGTAATTTCCTATCTGCTGTTCAAACAATGGTATTTAAATACATCCCTAAACGTGACTGGTTCTATTGTTTTTTCTTTTTTTTTTTAATTAATATACAGTACTGATTTTTTAAAATGTAGTTTCGTACATTTCTGTAATTCAGAGTTTAGGCGCGATACCGCATACGATTTTGTCTCAGTTTTCATTACAGAAGTGTTTCAGGACTTTGCTCGCCTTTTCAAAATGATTTGGGCTTACCTGATTGTAAGAAGCAGATGCAGCTCTGAAGTACAGAAATAACAAGTATTGTATATCGAGTGAACGCTGTTCGAAAAAAGTAAGGCAAATCCATGCTGGATAGTCTGTAGTTGCTTTTCGATCCGAAAGTGCTAATCTCGTATTACCTTCTGTTCCATATGTTGTTCTTAATGTTGTGCGTGTTGCCGACAGGATTTATCTGCCATACTGTCACGGCATTCCACGATAAAGTATCGAATTATAACGCACGAAGAGAAGCGTGTGTCTGACCGATTTCTTTTTTTTTTTTATTTATAGCAGGCGACTCGATTCTTTTCTCAATTGTCACTTACCTGTGATATCTTAAAAATACAATTTGCAAAACAACCGTGTTTGGAGATATCGTGCAAACGCGCAGAGGAGCATATTGCGACAGAGAAGATTCTGAGATTATTTTAAGTTACGCAAGAGAAAGAGGAAGTATACAGAAGACACGCTACTAGCATGTGAGAGTGCGTTACATACATACCGAGGATTGTTTCTTCCACATTTCGATGTTCTTCCTCTGCGCCTTAGTGAAGTGATCCCAGACTTTCTTGTGGCTGGCCGCAGTAAAGACTCGTTCGATCTGACTGACTGTTGATGACATGTGGTCGCATGTTGCATACAAAAAAACACAACAAATCCTCCGTTGTATACCTTTTGCTTGAAACTCTAAGCTCGGTAGTTTCGTCTATGCTTTTAGTACTCATTACGCATACTCGTTATATTAAACGTTTAGTTATATCATGATATTCCTCGACGGGAACGATCCCTCCTTTAATAATCAGAGCGTGATTTTTCGTACATATGTACAGCTACGGAGTCTCACGGAGTCTCACGTAGATTGTGCCGAGTGTTGGAGCGCATCTAATCTAACGTAAAGTTGTTTTCACCAAACATTCCGCTCTCATTGTTCGCCTTTCCACCGTACTGCGGATAATGTAATTCCGAAGACTTGCAATTCGCGGACTTCCTATGTTAAGGACTATTTTGAACAACAACGAACATGGTTTCGCGCCTTATTAAACGTTCGTACGATACATTACGTTACATATACATGAATACCTGATAAAACGATACATGTGTAAAAGTCTCAATCTGCAGTTCAAAATAATCTTTCAACAATGGATGCCCAGCCCATCACCCTTATTCCTTAGCATTGCCAAGCATGCAACTTTCAAGTACACTATGACTCTATGAGATAGAATTTGCGATAAATCGGCTTCGTTCGTTGGTTTTGTTGGATCCTAAGTCCGAGAAGATAGGATTTTTTCACCCACCTTATCCTCGCCTACTATCTCTGATCCTTCCTACCGAGTTGCCTCCAATTGTGCATTGACCACAAACAGAATTCATAGACGAATTCGCCATGATATACTTGAGAGATTGCTAAAATTAGTGACGAGACAGAGAAGTACTTCGTCGTAGGTATTAAGAGTAGGTTTTACATCAAGCGTATCACTTGATATGCAAAAGCCGGTTTTCAGAATATCATACGTTGAGATCGACAAGCTTAACATTCGATTTGACTTTGTACCTGATTATAATCGGTTGTTGTACCTTAATGTCACGAATCATTTTTCTTAATTATCACGTAACGATGTAACATACCTTCGTAACTGGTTTAAGAAAAATCTCTGCTTTTTATCGGAACTCAATACGTGGTACAAGGATTCGTCATACACACAGTGTGAAGAATGCAATGAATACCGCTGTTGTTACTTTGAGATTACGAACGAAATAATCACGATTTTTGTTGCGTTTACTATATCCAAATAAGGATTTCCTTCTATTGGTTGTTGGACCTCTTTATGCCAGAATTAACTTACCAGCCAATGCGGATTTTCTTAGCGCACACGAAATATGTACGATAATACGGAGCTATCTTAAAAATAGAAAAATAAGAAAGCGTATAAACATACATTGTATGAGAAGTCCTTGCATTCTTCCTTTCATTAATTCTTTGGCTTTTTGTAGCTCCTCCTCGTAAGCAGCTTTCTCCGTCAGGAGCCGTCGCACATGAGAGTTTGTTGATTGTATCATGGAGTAGAAGATATTGGCGTTACGTTTGATGCAATCTCCTCGTTCTAACCATGTTACAACAATCTACAACACGTTTGGATCACGAAAATACAGAGATGTTACTTGATGTAACTAGAAACTGAAGTATGTATTAGAATGTTCATTAAAATGACTACTCACTTGTACTGCTTTCATAAACGTATCATCTTGCTTAATTTTTTCGCAGATATTCGATGCCTCATGATCCGTATAGTGTACTACTGGAGGTGGACTTGACGGTGGTCTTTGTCTCTCCTTTTCCACTCTTTCTCTATGACGTTGCTCCCTTTGTAACTGTCGTTGTCTGCATTCCCATTCATATTGATCATCTCTAGCCTAAAATCATTATTAATGATTATATATAAGTAGAATTTAATTATACATTTTTGGGTAAACAATTTCCAGTAAGTAACAAACCTGAGCAAAATCTACATGAAGTCTACCGGTATTTGCAGGTTCTCCACTCGATCCTATTCTTACTCTATAACCTGATAAATAAATTGCTGCATCAACACTAGCTTCCAAAACAAAGCGTATATGACAAAAGTTCTTCTTAGAAAGACGCAAAGTAGTTATCTCTCCACATCGTTCAAATATTTCCTGTATTATAGCTTCGGTAATGTTTTCTGGCAACCCTGTGTAGGTAGTATGATTATGTAAAGATTTTTAAGTAATTTATTATTCAATGTGCAATGCTTACCTCCCACAAAAATTGTCCTACATCCTGGTGGTCTTTCTCGTGTGGTAGGTGGTGGAGCATTCGGATTTGGTGGAAACAATACACAACTTTTGCAATGTATGATTTCTTTGGTGCCCTGAGGCGTCATCGGTGGCGGTGGTAAGCTCGCGGTCATTATTTGCGCTGCGTCTGTCATAATCTGTTCAGCACCTAATATCTGAGCGCCTATCATACTGCCATCATGTGACATCATACCCATGCCCATTGGATTGTAACCATGTGTATGACTCATATGCGGACCCAATGCCATTTCGCCCATCATGGGTGCCATTGGTCCCATGGGACCCATACCCATCATAGGATAACCCACTCCCATTCCCCAAACACCTGTAGCAGGTTCCATCTGCGTGCCTATGCTCGGCGCGTTGCTTGTATTTGTCGACGACAAAACTTCGTTGTTGTTGTTAGAATTATTCGCATGATTGCTATTATTCTTTGAAGAATTTGAGTTATTTCTTTCTTCGGTTCTTCGATCGTCCCTTCGATCTCGGTCGCTTCTCTCCTCCCTCCTGTCACGATCTCTGTCGCGTCTATCGCTGCGTTCTCCTCTTGATCTTTTGCAAACATAATGAACAAGTTATAACTGGATTTTAAGCAGATAAATTATAAAAGGCTGTAATTGTTATTCATGCAACTTGTTATATTTCCTATATAATTTGATAGAACAAACAAAAATAGAGTACCACCTTCTGTTGTTATCTCGGACTTCACGGCTATCCCTGTTCTCCCGATCTCTTCTATTGTCATTTTTGTCGCTTCTCCTATCATTGCTATCGTCCGATGTTTCTCGCACTATCGGAGGCTGATTCTTATTCGTACTAAATTCCAGGGGCGAATCGTTCATGCCAGGTAGTGGTATGGGCGGTGGTGGTAACGGTGGAAAACCTTGACCCGCCAGTTCCATAAAGCTCTGTCCTGCTAACGGACCCAGCGGACCTATTGGTCCCATGCCTGTAAATTGTATATCAATGAAACAAACGGCGTCAGGGTAACAGATTTGGATGGAATCGATTTGAAGAAAGGCAAATGCAGTAACGATTAATAAGGGAATCGGTTATCGCTCACTCATGGGTGGCATAGCGGTTGCTGGTACCCCGGGGAAGTTGTAAGCCATTTCTCGCAAGATGATCTTCGACTTTTATCCACAGAAGGCGAGAGGCAGCGAAAGTAAGTACGCCGCTCTGAAATATTCCACTTTATTCCGCTCGTTGTTGTCGAAAGTCGCGGAGATGGCGGCGATGAATATACAGAGTGGCTACTATCGGATCGTGATTATGCGGCGCGGGAATGGTAGTACATGCGAGTACGATAGATGACACCACCGCTGGCGGCGCTGGCACTTGGTCGTGTTGCCCAATATATCATATTTGTTTTATTTTTTAATACGTTAAATACATGATAAAGAAGAAGAAGGAATCAATTATCTCAACTATCCTGTACTCTCATGTTTCTTCCGAAACACAAATGCACTAATACAGCTGCGTTGCGCACAAATATAGTTGAAACGAGCAGCATCACTATGCAGTCACACACTATTCAGGCTGCTCCGTTTGGTTGCCATTTAGCAACGGCCGGTGTGTAAACATAGATGGCCGCTCTGAACGTCAAATTTTGTCAAGACATTCTCGTGACGTTTTCTCGTATGATTCACCACATGCCCGAGGATACTTACCTTTTGCATCTTACATCGAGTACAGTAATGATTAGCGCGCTTTGTCTGGGGTACGTATTTCTATTTTAGCCTTAAATCACGTTTGTATTTTAAGTAAATGCAATACGTAGTATAATGTTTGTTTACTAAGTAAATCCGCAAAAACAACTCAAAAATGAAAATAATCCACGCGCAATGATAGTAATAATAATACATTTGAAATAAAATCAGAAAAATAATAGCCTCATTAATTAAACTTATTTAATTATGGCTCGATATGACGATTGTTCTATTAGAGTTATTAGACTGTAGCCATTTTATCTGATATATAGAAAAAATCTATATATAGTGCTGTATTCCCCAAGTCTTGATAAATATATACATTTTCCTATACATATTTTGTTGATACAGTTTCAGCTTTATATTCTTTTTTTTAATCTGACAATGATAGAAATCTAAATACAAACTTGAAGTTTCTATAAAAAGAAAATATGTATGATCATCAAGTATAAATATTAAAATAATTATTAAAATAATTTAACAAATTGTTTTACCTAAGTTAATAATCAATTTTTCACAGAGAAAACACTTTGCATCACACAAAATTAATTTGTATGCAAAACATATTTCTATGAGAGAATTTTTTAGACTCGAGAGCACAAGTATAAAGTGTCATATCACTTTATTTAATCAATCATAACATTCAATAATACATAATTTAACTGATAAATGTATTTTGTGTTTAAATTTTTACATAAGGACATGCGTTTTGTTATGTTACGATACACTCGATTGTAGGTAATACCTAGTTTTCAATATCGTAGGCAACTATGTCGTGTAGAGTTTTGACAAGATTCGAAACATTTCAACGCCCCATTTTGTAATTTACATACGTAATACAAACAACGACTCCAAGTAGCATATGTGCGATTGTATTTACATGAGTAACTTTGTTATCGCGCCTCACATTCTAACAAGTAATTTAATTAACGTATTTTATTCATATGTACTTTTATTTAATCACCCTTAAGTATCAATGGCAAGAACTTGCGTTTTTCTTTTCTTTCCCCTTTTAAGAGCTGTACTGTGACTAAAAAGATGATGCCTTGAATTACGATGTAACTTACAAAGTATGAATAATATTACACACACGTTTCGAATCCTATTGTATTAAGAGTCAAATGATGGTGCGCATCGTCGCATTCATTCATCCAAATAACATATGTACATAGTATATTCCCCGAGACCCAATCTCCATACCCACCCCATTCCCCAACGTAAAGTGAACAGATTAAGGCTCCAGCAGGCTATAGGCTACATTCTACAATGTACAATATATTATGTACTTTGTTAGTTTTCCGTTTTCGCGTACAATGTCTGGCTGTGTAATGTGTAGTAAGCGATAGCACCAAGAGATTTCCCACTTCTGCTTTCGAACTCGAATGACTTTTTCATGACTACTACATCTAATGTGATTTAATTTAGAAACCAAGTTGCGCAATGATTAACATTTATTTCATTCAGTAGTTCATTAAAACTTTGCAACGTATCCAGTATATAATAGACATACTTATTATAAAACAATACATTTTAACAAAAATGTATATAGACTTATACCTTTATGAAATGTAAAGTTGGATAAAAATAGTAGGCCTTGCCCACTAATATCTGTTAAGAGTTATGTTTCCTTGTTTCTCGTACTTTGTGTATTGAACGCGGTAATGAACACTTAACGGTGTTCGGTACCGGGCTGACAAATCATGGATAGACACATCTAATGTCTTCGTATTACATTTGATATATTATGCATTTGATATCACCCATGGCCCCAGCATGTTGTATCGATAAGTAACACAATAATCAGAGAATATATGTATATATATATATATATCATTCTTTAAACCGAATTTTTAAATACACGAGATGTGTCATCGAGTCGCTTTGAGTGATCTAAGACTTAAGCGTTACAGATTTGTCTTCTTTTAAAAAAAAATGAGAATCAGTCTAAAGATCTTCCTTATACCTGACGTAAACTATCAATTTCGCTACTTTATTCGCACATCGTCACATCCGTAAGAAAACCTTTTTTTGTATCATGTAGCATTTTTCGTACAGGCTCTAATCGTGTTTCACAATTATATTCATATCATAAAACGTAAACAGCATATTTTACTTTTTAGTATTCAAGTATCAGATAGACGGTCTATAATAAAATAGTTCAAATTATTTTGCTTTGAGTCAGGGTGAACCATCAAGTGATAGATAAATTGTGCTAGAGCAGATCAATGTAATGACAAGATTATCAATAAAATAATAACCTCAGTGAATAACATTGCATATTAATTCCTCTTATTACAATAATATACGAGATATAATAATATTCTTCAAAGAGTGTTATTAAAAGTAAAAATATAAATAATTATAAGATATCACTGATGTTACTATACTCTTGATAAAGTTTGCAGGAATTTATAAATTTTATCCGTTGAAAAACTGCCTTTATCTGCTCATTACATCACAACTACATGATTATAATTTATTTTCGCTATCGGTGTCTCACAATTTCAAGCTATTCAACACATTGAATTCAACTTCAGTTCAATCACTTAACATAAGAACAAGGATCCCCATTACCCCACTATAAATAGTGAATAGATCTTTTATCTTTGATACTTATTATCGCTTTTATGTCCAAAGATTATATCTTGCACTATGCTGCACAATGCGAATATCATGGACATTAGTTTAAGAAAAATGATTAATCAAAACGAAAAAAATAGCGTGATTTATACAAAGGTTCCGTTGTCGGATATAAAATTTCGATTTTACAAGAATTAGCATATTTGTAAAAATAATGTTTATCAAGCCGTTTAACATTACATTATTTTATGAAAAACTCATGTAGATATAAAAAAATTATGCTTTTAATTAATTTTTTGATACAATTGACAACGCCAAAAATGTTGACCTTCTTGTTTTATTGCTTCTCGTAACAACATACAATATGGAGTCAAGAGGAACCTTGAGTGGCATGCATGAGTCGAATATCTCTAGTCAGACGTTATTTAATAGTGTAATTTGCTCCCATGCACATCACACCTCCAGACTTCACTCATGCAGCAAAATGCGCTTTTTTTAATTATTTCTTTTAATATAAAAAAATTTATTTCTATTGACTTTTAAGCTCTTTGCCAATACTGTACGACACAATTTTGTTCCAGTCAATTTTTGTTCGCATTACTGGTAATTGCCTTCGTAGTGCTTTAAAGGTGGTGTCGGACATTGTTTGATAGTTCTCGGAAATTGCCGTTTGATAATCGTTTTCAGATTCCTCGACAAACCGTATCAAATCCTTCGCCGTTTGCTTCTCATTGGAGATCGGCAGGCTCTCCTTCACGTCTTTGCTACTGACCAATTGTACATTTCCGTCCTCATAATAATGTACTTGTACTTTGAGACTACCTCTCAGTTCAGCGTTACCCGAACTTGGGGTGAAACTGACAGTCCACACTGAACGCCAGCGGCCATTCCAGAAGTTTTTAGGTTGAAACTGATGATCTTCTATGCATGCCGTTAGCGTTATGTTTCCTGCTTGCGTTAAAAAAACAATTGTTACTCACAATGTCCTCTGATTTGTTTAAAGTCAATTGATCGACGTAACAATTACCTCCAAGGGATTTTCCAAAAACTGAGCAAGCGCCATGTCTATAATGACTTTGAGTATAATTCGTTATTTCTTCTTGAAGGGCTGACCTCCAAGGCTCCGCTAAGGGATCTGGTTCGTAAGATTCATAATCTTGCGCCTCCTTTCTCAGGTGATCATATTTAAAACTTTGCTTACTCCGTGCGTCATAAAACCTCTGAGAGCCCAAGTCATTGTGTTCCGTTATGAGCGCTGGGTGGTCACTTCCTTCTATCTGTACGTGATGGAAATGACAGTTTTAGTATTTTACTTTACACGCTTATTTTCCCTTAATTAATGTATCACAATCTCTACGTATGTATATTCTTGCATGGTCTCGGATTTATTATTTTACAGAAAAAGACAGATGTAAACCTTGAATTTTTATATTGCAAAATAAGTTATTTGCAGTAAAGGAAAAACAAATAAAAAAGATTTGTGGCATTGTGGCATTGTACATGCAGTGCCTAACCTCAGCTGAATTTACGATAGTTTCCAAAATATACAGACGTCACGTAGTGATCTAGTGTAAGGAGAAAGGAAATAGTCTTCGTTTGTATATTCGGAGATTAAATAGCGATACGATGTTCCTGTTGTCTAGCTAGAGCCAAATTTCCATAACCTGGCGCGAGGGGGGGTCGGGTATTCGAGCCGGTCGTGCGAGAGCCGCGGAGATGTCACGTGACGACGATCATCACCTGGAGCGAACGTCACCCGCGCAATGAATCTCAAAAGGTCCCGATAACGCGAGGTAGATAGAGACAAAGTGTTTAAGGTCACCGTGGTCGCGCCTCGCGGGCTTTCGGAATCGATACATACAGTTAAAAGGAAATGGGGTAAACGCGTAAAAGGGCGCCAAGGGTGCGAGCCGCATACGCCGCAAGTTAGGTGAAGGCCGCGCAGGAGAAATACAGGGTCAGCGTACGCGGTACCGTCGGCAGCCGCCTATTATGATGATGACGATGATGATGTACCTTAACAGGCGTGAGCTGGTCCTTGTTATACTGAGCGAAGGCTCCGG